CCTTTTCTGTCTGTGAAAACTGACCTTCTTTCTTCGCAGTGTGATGCAACGAAACTCTACTGGGGATTTTGTGTGTACGAGAGAGAGTAACGGCTTATTTTCACTTGATAATTAATACGGATACACATTAAACCTCTTGCACTTTCTCTCATCATATCAGCGTGCAATGCTTTAATTCAGTTTAAAGTGCTTACGAAAAGTCTTCTTGATTTTTTTTACCCTTCTATTTTGTTTGTTCATTGCATTTTCCTTGCTTTAGAACAAAATTCAACACAAGATGTATACAAATAGGCTCTAAAAATGAGGAAATAAAAAAAAAGAAAATGAAATCTTTCTCAATTAAAGTTTAGGATAGGCAAGCTTTGTCTGCCACAGTAGATCAGGAGACCCTGAACAGTCACTGTAGACGCAGGACGGTGTTCTAATTCAGACTGTTGTTGCACATGTGTGGTTAGGAAGCTCTTTGTAATTATTGTGCATATTTGAGCTCTTTGCTCAGTGTCGGAAGCTGTTCCTAATGCCAGGAACGCTACCCTTATGGGACACATATGGCTGTGTAGCACCCTTATCCCCTTCTGCCCCGAAAGCTGCACTTCAAACACAACCCACTCCCTCCCCATTGCTTATTAAAAGTCATCCCTCTTTCATGGTTACATTCTATAAAACCCTGCCTGAAAAAATGTGAAAATAGCATGGCTCTTTAAGTGGCTCTTTAGGTTTAACAACAATGGCAGTTTTTCTATGTAGTTACAGTATAGGCAAGTTTCCACACCTATTTCTTTATTACAATTTGTTTTACTCCCTATGACATTAACATCATTATGAAAATCTACACCAGCACTTCCAAAGCCCGTTCACATCAACATGTTTCTTTATCCAGTAGAATTATTTTATGAATGCCAAATGTTCCTTGATTTAATTAAGCTTTGTTAATGAAAGCTGTCATGATTTGCGTATGAGCTTTTTTTTCCACATTCTGCTTTGCTTCATCTTGGTTCTTTTGTTGTGGTTTGCTATGCTATTGCACTTTTCTGTCTGGAAAAATATGGGGTTTAGGGGGTTTTCAAAAAAATGAGAAAGAGATGCGAATAAATTATACTAAAGTGCTCATATCCTGTTTCAAAACTGTGCTGGCAACTATTTTCAATAATTTCATTATGCATGAGCCATGCAATACTTTGTGTGGATTGGTTGCCTACTTTAAAAAGTAAGGAACAAACATATTGATAACTACTACATTTTGTGCATGTGTTTCAGTAGCATTGAATTGAGAAATCAATTTGAAAATGACGTAAAAGTGCTGTAAACCTTGTGGTAGCCCAAATTCTATAACTCATGCTCATCATGTGCTCCAGAACAGCAGACAACTTAAGCTTAGCAAAACATACTGTAGTGTTCTATTTTCATGGAGAGCAAGCTGGGGTATGTGAAAAGATAATTCCTAAAGCAAGAAATTGTAAAGGGTTAATAAAGTGATGTTATTATTATTTCCTCAGGAATGAATGTGCTTACTTTGAACATACAGTACTCCACTTATTGTCAGCATTGTTAAACATTCCATCCATGGCATAACATAACAGGAGATTATGAATTGGTTATAGTACTGAATGATGAAGAGCACATTGAACAGCTAAATATTAACATGTGGTAAAGTGAATTAGTTGATAAGTTGCAAAACTACTAACAACTATGCTTTTCAGCTTCTTGGGTCTATTTAACTGACATTTGTGCTTAGTTTACATCAAGTACCTAAATTCTGGTATAATAAGAATATGTATTATATTTTCTGGGAATTAGAAAGCTAGACTCTTGGTGGTGGTAGCTAGTAAACATCATGAGAGCAGATAGGAAATGCAAAATGTTGTTGTGCAGAAATCCCATCACACACAGAATGTAGCTCATTAGTGGCATATTCCTCTGTAAGATCAAATCAAAGTCGAGCTCTGCCACATGTGAATGTACAGTAGAATGTTGTTTGTTTGAACAGAATAGTTTCAGGAAATTAAATGTAATAGCCAATACAAAATAAAAAAAAAACAAGAGACAATGTTTTTTGTGAGATGTGTTTTGTGTTTTGTATTAAGTGTTAAGTGTCTTGTATTAAGTTCTGTTGTCATATTGGCTTAATCATAGTCTCAGATACTTACTTAAATCTTTAAAGGCTAAAGTCCCAACACACATTGCTTTGTCAGTATTAAATTACTACTGCTACTTCATATTGTTTTTTTACTACAAAGTGTTGTCAAATCACCAGAAAGAATCTTATAACTAAAAAAAACACCAAGGCTTCAGAAAGACCTAGTTGAAAAGAAGTAACAATTTTACAAAAGTTCATAAGGAAATAATGAGGGAATTGCTGCATACTGTACATAATATACATTTCCCAGGACATTCTTCACTTCAAAAAAAGTTCATTCTGTTCTAGAGCTCAAAGTTATAAATGAATAGTCCATAAAGATTTTCAAATTCTTAAATTAAGACAGCAAACGTCAAATTACATTTTACGCTGCGTTCTTTGTATAGATTGAGATATTTTAACTTGAAACTGTACCACAGCAAATTCATTATATTATTCTTTTATTACCAAAGTTGAATATTTAAAATTTGGGATTCTTGCTTCACATTACTTTACAAACACTAATTTACTACTAGACTTTCTGAACTACAGAAATAATTTCTTCACAACCCCTACTTAGAATAATCAGTGTTATGTGCTTCTTTTAACTCTCCTTGTATGATTTTATTAAACTAGTTGATGCTTGTTTGAAGTCTCTAGACAACTGCCCATGCTCTGCAAATATGTAGAAACTTGAAAATCTTCCTGTTGAGAAAATCTTTCACCAGCATGTCACAGCTTTGTGTATTGTGTATTATTTCAAAGAAGGGAAAAAGACACTTGTTAGCTAAATACATATACACTATATTTTCTATCTCCTAACTTACTATTACGTCATGCTTTTCTAGTACTATAAAACCTCTAACTTTATCTTTCCCAAGTGAGTACACAGACCTGAGAAAATGTTTTTTTTTGTATTTCTGTTTCAGGCTTCAATTTGGAATGACACGCTTAATCATGACAAAAAGCAAAATGTATTTGTTCTGAAGATCATTTTACTTGTTTTACCTAAAATCTGGAATGTTTGGTTGAGCCAGAAAAAAGAAAAAAATATTTAATTAAAAAAAATATTTCATGATGTCTTCTAAGTCTTCTAATGTAGACACTTGCAAACAGCACATACTGTAGAAAATAAACTTCAGGGAGGCATTCACTGAGAAGAACAAAACAGATAATCTCACTGACGAATAGGATGTTAACTTTCTTCAACCGTTACCGGACTTGCTAAAACTAAACAATAATTTTAACTTTAGCTTTTGTATTGTGAGGTAGCAACAGAAAACATAATCCATTGTAGGTTTGGGTAAGAAATGTTTTTGTAATGAACATGGATTGATTAGCTCAACCCTATTACTAGTATGCCCCAACAGTTTCCACTCTTATTAATGAGAATTATGTGGGCTGTCAGGAATCTAATGAATTCTATTTAAATTGTGGAAACTCCTTGTTTGTTTGGCTCTGTTTCTAATGAACTTAAATCATGACAGCTTGGCAAAATGATGCTTATCAATACCTTTGTAATGTGGAACATCTTATGAATAAAATGTGTGGCACTGAACTGGATGGCTCCCTGTGGGAAACCGATTTAGGTGTTGTAGTGGATTCATCACTGTCATCTCCTAGGCATCGTGGAAAAGCAATTAAAAAGGCAAATAGGATTCTTGGGTATACTGTATATGAAAGAATGCTGAACACAACTCCAGAGAGGTTATGATGAATTGCACATGCTCCACTTAGACTAAGACGAATACTGCGTTCAATTCTGGCTCTGCATCATAAAAAGGATGTAGAAGTCTTGGAGATTTTTTAATGACGGGCATCAAAATTGATTTTGAGACTGCAAGAGATGAGCTCTATTGAAATATTGGGAAGAAGTTATTTTTTTATCCAGAGTCGGCTTGATCAGTGGCAATTGGTCTAATGTCTGTAAAAATGTAAAAGAAACAGTCTGATTTCCTCTTTTGTGTGGCTTATGTTTGATCTGCTAAACAAAGTAGCATTAACAGCCTAGAAGTGAATCTAGAACTGGGCGTTTAAAATGGTTTCAAAGGTTTAATATACATTTTGAAGACTAAAGCGTGCTGTACAGTACAGTAGGTAAACAGCTGCTTCTAATAATAGTTACGCTCATACAGTATATTTTATGTATGTAAAAGGAATACCTTATTTATTCCACTAAATGACAAGACCCGACATCCTAAGAAATGAAACCAATTCTTCATCGCGGATTAACCTTTTAAAATAAACGAATATTTAGCATTATAAGCACGGTGAGCGATGAGTGCGCACCTCTCAAACATTCATGTTTCTCACACCGTAGCTGCCTGCTTTGCTCAATCCTGTATGTTCCGGCCAGAGTTAAATATCGTCTTGTTTGAAAGCAATGATTTGTGTTCGCCCAGCACAGTTAAAAATGAAAAACCGAGGGGTTCCACTGAATCAATCAGCGGTTGTGAAGACAAGCTGAACTGAAAGAGCCAAAGCAAGGGATACATAAGAAGGAGAGACTGAAAGAGGACGAAAAAAATCTTACCTCTCGCCATTGGTCGAGGCTGTAGTTTGATGCAACATCCTGTGGGTAAGATCTGCTGCAGACGCTTAGAGAGAGAAACGGACTCTATGCCCTGCCTATGGTGCTTTCCCCAGTTTCTTTCAGTCATCGATGGGGCTGCACTGGGAAAGCATCACCGCTATAAAGTCAGCTGGAGGATTCTAACTACAGCAAAACATCTCATTCTCGCATTCACATGGTTTCACCGCAAAACGCTGAGTCCTGCGCTTTTTTTTTGTAATGTCAACATAATTGCCTGTTTAGTTTTCTATTTTTTTTTTTTTACATTGGTTAAGGCTCGGATAATGCTTTGATTATTTTTTTTTTTTGCAAATGAAGTGTTTTCCTTTTTTTTGTTCCAGTGATGATTTTTGTTCCCCCACACAAAAATGAAAAATACTAAAAAGGAACTGTAACAGAAATTAAGGTTCAGATCTTCCCTTTTCTAAGAACAAAAAAACAGAAATAAAACTACCTTAGTCTCAGCAGGAAAAGCAGAATCAAATATTGCGGAATATTATTGGATTTAAACATTTATTTCAAGCTTTAAAAAAAAATCATAAGACCGGTCTAAGCATCCGCCGGCGTCTCGCAAGCACAGCTGAAGCGTGTTAGAAAGATAGCAGACTAGTGGAGAAGTCAGGTGGATACCTGAGCTAGTGTAGGACTTTGGTGATTTGAATTCACTTGGTTTTTGGATTAGACATTTTCCCTGTGCTGGATTCTTCGTCTGCCTAGAAAATGGATTTGCGACTGAGTTTCTTCTTTTGCTTTCTCGCCACTCCGATTGTCGGGGAAAACACAAGCGGTAAAGCCCGGAGTTGTTCGGATGTCCGACAGTTTTACAGCGGCAAGGGCTTTCACTTGGTCGGAGTCCCCCAGACTGAAATATCGGGTAAGATCTACGCTCACGCTACTATAGAGCACATTTACTGAGATTCCTCTTATAACACGTCGCCTGAGCATCAGTCATATAGTGTAAGACTAGCTGTAACTTGTGCGTGCATGGCGATCGTGTTTTGTACACTCATTTAATGATTTCCCACGACAGTTCAAAGAAGAATACAGTACATACTGTATATACAGTATCTAACCTTATGAAGTAACTATTCCTTTCCCGCTATTAAAAGGAAAGCATGTACTGAAGAGTTACGAATTCAATGCAATAGCCTTTAGTTGCTAAACAGAATACTGTATCTATCTCTACTTTCGTCCCATTCGTACTGGATATTTGTTGACTACATTTGGTGTTTCGGAAAGGATGTATAAATAATCGAGACGCGTGGCGCCACCCATATATATTGAGCAGTTTTTTTGAATATATATATATGCTAAAGAAATCAGGCGGGGATATGAATCTAAATCGCTTATAAACAAACTGGAGTCATAACTACTGTAGCTCCAAAGTGCCATTGATCCGAAAGATGTGCTGTTTTTTTTTTCTTTGAAGTTTATACCACACTTAAAACTCTTAAGATCGAAAGCTTTTGAAGTAAAAGATTTGCTTTATTCTATGTAATTACCCTTTCGACTGAAAACATTCCTTAAAACAGGAGGACTAGTACAAATCATGAATATACTGCGGAATACAGATTGTATCCTTTAAAGAAAGCAGTTATGATTTATGCACAAATTTAAAGTATTTTATTTAAATTCTCACGCTTAGTTGGAAGATGAAAACGCCAGGCTTGGTCTTGCTCCCCTGGAAGACCTTGTGTTGAATATTTGCAACAATATGAAGCATTCAAGGTGGACTGTATCTTACTCAGAAAGAATCTAAGCTCGGGTCTCGCTGGCTCAATAACTCGAATTGCGTGCTGAAAAACGTTGCACGTTTACATTATCTGAAGTCTTAAGTTAGTCATTTAGCAGTTGCGTTTTTTTTCGCCTAAAGCTTCACACCAGACCTCTTCATAAACGCCTGTTTGCAATGACCTTTTGCTAGTCTATTATTAATACCAGTGTAATGTCAAATTTAGCCACCCACTCAGATGTTACGACCTGCAGTCTCGGAATATAAACATTCAAGAAATGTATCTTGGAACAGAGTACGGTAGTTCTGAAAGACGTGCTTTTTAACTGGAACATGTTTTAGTCTTATAGTGCGGAAAACAATGTAACTTTATTTTGAGGATAATATAATTACAAATAACTATTAATATTTGGTTAAAACACAGAATGCTTATATTAAATCATATACTTTCGTTCACCAAAAATACTGCTTAAGCTATTTATGCAATAGAGTACTGTAGCAATAGTTGTTTGGTTTGAATCTTCCACCAGAATGTCCTGTCTTTGTTAAATCAAGACTATTATAGGAGTTGTAGGAAGGAAAATATAAAAATATAATGGATGTTGTCCTCCTGTCAAAATGTTCTTTAGATATTAAATGCAACAGAATTTGATGCCTGATAATCCTCTGTCAAAATGTCCTATTTAGCAAGTGGAACGTTGTGGCAACACATGACAGCTGTTGATCTTTCATTTTTTTCTACCTTAGCTATTGAATGGATTAGGTTAGCATATTTGTGTCTTTTTCTGTATGTGCATGGTATTAATGCTGCAACGTCTTGCACGCGTAATCAACTGGCACAGTTTTTCGACTTTTTGTAAAGCCGATAGTAAAGTTAAGGCAAGTAATTCAAATGTTTAGAATGTTTAGGCCTCTGTAACGCAAAATGGACTTCGATGCTATTTCTGTATATTTGTATTGTAACGCATGTTTATACAGGCACGACGAACTGTGAGACATTGTACACTCACTGTATGAGTGTGTACACATTTCTATATTTTGGAAGTCACACAGAAAAATGATAAAATCACCAGTGTATGATAGTGTTCATCCATTATGAATAAATCATCCTCCTATATATTTACTATGATACACTGTTTTCCAAGTCTTTATGTGGTTGCTTGTATCTGGTACCCTACTCTAGAATTGATTGCAGTCTTCTTCGTGTTTCTCTGTATTTTACTGTAAGTGACCATAAACGTCCAAAAAAGCATTAATGCTTTGATATAAACTATATATGACGACTTTACCTTCTAGGATCAAGGGTATCCCTGTGTTAAAAAAAAGATTTCTTCGATTGGTCCGAATCTTCCGCCGAGATGGCCTTTTGGCATTTTGGGAAGTCTCATACAGTACTGTATGCTATGCCTTGACTCCAGCGAGTCATGAACAATATCTGCGTGCCAGTAAGACCTAAGAATGTTTATGTCTGTAAATCTGTGTACAGTATTTGACCAATTTGTTTACATGTACTTAATTCCGTTAATGTTCAATTCCTAACTGCGGGGGCGTTCTAATCTTACACTGTATTTAACTTCACTGAGTTGTCGAGAAAAAAAAAACATTACGCAGGTGAAACTACAAAACACTGGGTTTCACAGTAAAAGATAAAGACTTCTGGATTTTTAAAATTTTCATATAAAATATGCCTGCCACTGTAGTACTTTAACTGAAACAAAGTGCAGTGCTCCGCAACCCTCTCGAGGAAAAGCGGACTGAAACTGGATGGATGCAGTATTATGTTCTAAAAATAAAACACCTGCTTCTCTTCCACACTTTGGACGCAATTTTGATGCCCTCTGGGAATCTGTAAGGGGAAAATCGAGCATGCGCAGTGTACAAGGTTGGAAAAATTGACGAGGAATCAGAAATTGATGTTACTGTACACGTTCAGCTCATTGCTAAGTCATCCGAATCAGTTTAATAGAATATGTGGTGATAAATGAGAAATACAAAGGTTGAAAGATGTCTTAAACACTCTTAAGCTTACTGCACTGATACCAACTTAGTATATTATATTGTATATTCAATATTCAATATTCCATCATACTGTACACTGTCCACAGTGCCCACAAAAAAATTACAAAGCGCAAGAATTGCTGCTTTGACATGTTTTGGTTCACTTTATAACCATCATGAACTCATAGCTTAATTTAGGCACTTAGGGTTTAGTCATTAGGAGGTGCACTACAAACCTTCTTACTGTACTAATTATCCAATGATACTATGAAGTGAACTAGTAAAATTGTACTTGGCATCATTGAGAGGGTGATGTATGGATGAAGTACTGTGCTGTTAAGCAAATCTTTTTTTTTTGTCTGCTGTCACGATTCAGATTGTATAAAAAGCTTATGTATAAGGTGCAAGGAAAGAAAAATGCAGTTTTTAATAAGAGGGATATTTTTTTCATTTTAATTTCTTCTTATTAGGAGTATTTTAGTGGTTCATTAATAAAAAAAGTTTCTCTTTAGAGGCTAATATGGATTTTCTCTAAACAATTTTCTGATCTGTACTTAAATATAACTGTTTTACTAATAGCAGTTCCATTGTATTTTATATTTAACATATACATTTTTAAAAATTCATGGAGAGCTGACAAATGTGTTAATTGCTCAAACCCAGCCCTCATGTACTGTAACCTGGCAATGGTTTCTTTACCCTTGCCTAATTTAACCTCCAAAAAGAGCATTTTTTTCTTTTGGTTATTTTTGTCATTAGAGTCTTGAGATTTCATCACATATTTAGTGTAAATTAGCAACAAAGCGTGCACTTTGACAAAAATCGTATTGTTTTTAACAGTTTATGTTTAAAACATACCAAAATTCACAAAGGGAATGGAACATTTTCACATAGAATATGCAGATTACTTGATTTGATAGAGATTTGATGGAGAAAGAGATAATAAAGATCAACCCTTTTATCAATACAGCCAATACATGTTTCAGCCATTTTTCACTATAATAATAATAATAATTAATAATAATTGCTTATACTTATATAGCACTTTTCTGGACACTCCACTCAAAGCGCTTTACAGGTAATAGGGATCCCCTCCACCACCACCAATGTGCAGCATCCATGCAAGCTTTTCACAGAAGAAGCAGCTTTCACTGCCTTATCAGTGATATCTTAAAAAAGCTGTCATAGAACAGCCTTTCTAAAGTGTAAGTACATTAATCAAAGTACTGTTTTAAATACAATATTTAGGTCCACCACAGCACTTGCAAGAACAAAGATCTCCAGTTTGTCATTTTGATATTTGATCAAGAAGTTTGTTTGTGTATTTAATTTGCCACATAATGCAAAACACTGCACATAATTTGCAGTCGCTCTGAGGAAAGACTTGTAATCGGTGTGATGCCCTAATGTGATGTAAAACCATTATTTACTGTATGGGTGGCGTAGTCTCATCAGAGTCTTTTAACACTGAAAAGGTTTCTTTCAGTGAAGATATTCAGGATGCCTCTCTACACCCTGTTGTGACCAATAGCCAGTTGCCTGTGCCCTTAATGATTGGGAGGATTGGAGGCGCTTTGTGCAAGTGATGTATTCATGTTGGCCCTGTATGATCATGAACCGCTACCCTAGATTCACTGATCACTGATAATATTTGATCAAAATCACTGATTATGTTTACAGAGGGTCATTCTCCATGGGTAACATCTGGCCATTACCTGTTTTGAACTCTGGCAAAGCCATTGGAGTGCCTTTGTAAAGAATCACCATACATGATTGCAGTCATCATCAGGTCTTAAACAGAGCCAGTATATCTGCTCTTAAATACAGTATATTCTTAACCTGTTTGGAGTAGACATTGATTCTTAGTCTGTTTTAATGGATGATAATGCTAATTCTTATTGAGCCAGACTGTTTGGAGATGCCTATTGTCGAAGAAAACTCATTGCTCAGGTTAGATGTGTTTCAGCAGAGTCCTTTATTCATTCACATGGAGAGGATATAATCATACAGATATGAGAGAAGCCTCTAACGACAGTCACAGGCAGTGATTTTTATACAGCAAGTTCTGTAGTTCTAGCTCATTCTAAATTTCCATATTAGGAGTTGTGTTTCTCTACAAATTCTTTGTAATTGGCCACTTTATT